ACACACCGCAAAGTTGATACACTCAATTCGTTCGGTACATCTGTCACTGCGATCTCGACCTTCATCCCTCCATCATCGTATATTAGCCCATGGTGTTTGCACCAGTAACACCGATGCAAAGCACGCTAAAGGCGCGGAAAATTTCCACGGCTTTGAATTTTGATTGATGAATTTATTTAGAGGCACTGAAAAAATAAAAAAAATGATTGACAACCCGTACTGCATTGTTTTGAGATTCATTCCAACTCCAGTGATGACCCGGAAACAAAGTGTCAAATTTCGGCGAAGACAATCAAGTAGGCAACGGAGAATATGGCAAGCTGTGCAGGGCAAACAGTTGTGGATTTGGGGGAGAATGAGAACAGTATGACTCTGTCAAACAGTGAGAAAAATGGTTTCAGCAGTTCAGATGGACGGTTTATCTGGGCCGACAGAGAGCAATAAATGGGTGATTGCCAATAGTCTATGTCTTGATAATGAGTTCTTTAGAATGATTGTGACAAACGTTTCATATCGGTAGCCCATAGTTCACACCATGTACCTTGGGGTTCTTCTGTCGGATAAAGAAGTGAATCATCGTTTTCTCATTTGTGTTCCGTGCATAAACATACCGGTGAATAGTGGCATCCTTATTAGCAGGCGGCGTATCATTGGTTTGGGTGGCAGAGTACTATACGAGAGCATACCAAACCTTTTCAGAGATCCTAAGTAATCTGCAATAAACCATAAGAACAGAAAAAACCATGTTGGCCTAGCAGTCGAATTTAATATTTTTATCAGTTTCAGTTTTTACCACCATTAACCATGAACACTCAGGCGGCGATTTTGGTCGCTGTCTCATAATTGGGCCTATTGGAAAACCCTAGTTTTATACCAAGCGTTATGTGAAGTACGTTTCACAATCTAGTGCCGCGTACTACAAATAAAACCCAATCTGATCATATCTTAGACCGCAATTTAGCATTACTGAGCATGACTTGCTCGTAAGATGTCGTGTCACCAGCTGCTCTATTCAAAACCCTGCAATCTGATAGATTAAGAAAAAGGCTAGTGATCATGTGGTGTTAATTGTACGCTGGAGACGAGGGACCTCAATCTCACAATTACCCCCAGAGGGTCGGAATGTCTGGCGGATACAGTTCGATGACATGTGTGCAGCAGCGCAGTTGTTAAACTGGGAGCCGATTGACAAAGAAGACGTGGAAGAGTCGTGGTGTGTCATCCGAGACTGCCTACTACAGCTGGTGCAACAATTCGCCCCCGTACGCAGGAGCCGATCTCATGCCATGGGACCACCCTGGTTCGATAGGGAGCTTAGAAGTATGCTCCGCAGGAGAAATCGTGTGTGGAAGCACTACCGTGCTACGAATGCAGGCTACGAGGAATACAGACTAATATGGA